GGGGGGGGGGGAAAACAACCCTTCCTCCCAGGTCTCACAAGTTCATATTATTATAGTCCATGTCAGAATAGAATTTAATTAAAAGTATACACTACAAATAAGAACAATTCCTTTTATCTTGCAATATCTTGTGCTATTTCTATAAAGCAATCATTGGCATTGGTACCTAGGTGCCTCATCAATACTAGTTTGTATCATAAAATCATAACCAATGACTGGATCACTTGGTTAGAGAGAGCTAATCAAAGGGTCAAATCTTGCATTATAACTGGAAGTTTATCAGAGCTGAGTTCTGTCGCATCTTCCCTGGGAGGGTGAAAACTATTTAAGGTTCCTGAACTACTTATTTCCAGGAACTGACAGCAGGGGCAATCAGGTAACTACTGTAATAGGCTACAAACAGAGGAATAATTGAATTCATTAGTAGCTGCAGTTATATTTGAACTACAGAAAATCTGTGTAGACTTTCCCCATACAGCAAACTTAGTCCCCTCCATGGTTTTCCATATTGGAAGCATTCCAATTTTATGAACACCAATTCAGTCCACATCAGGTCCTATGCTGTAGAGACTACTGACTGCAAGTGCAGCAATGACACGCATACTATAAAATGCTCATAGAAAAAAAAATTAAGCAAAACCATGGTTTTGCTTTACCAACATGTATCCGATTTAAATGGTAGCATGCCAAAGGCTTCAGATATTGTCAGTTTGAAAGTTGGTGCACCCAAGTTGGCTCACAAGAGCAAACAAACAAATTCCACGCCTTTCATTTAGAGAAGAAGATAGATTTTTACTTTTACAGTATGTAGCTATTAGCAGAAACATTTTGTCCATGTACTTGGAATGTACAGCAAAGAAAGTAAGCCTCTTTAACCCTCTCAAAAGGCTCAAAATGACAATAAGTCAAGTCACATGTCTCATTTACTCTTTCAGAAAGAGAAGTGTGCGCCCCCTGAGGAAGTGAGAAGATTGATTTTTTTATTTTTTTTTTTAAAGATAGATATCAAGTAATATCATGTTATTCCTGCACAAGTATTCCTTAAAGACAGTTATTCCCCTCCTCTGCCTCTGGGTGGAAAGACATTCTTCAGGGACAGTGAACTTTACATAGTGCTCTAGAGTACTAGCTTGGCTTCTGGACTATCAGTTTAGCTGACATGGAAGAGTCCAGCTATAAGACTTCACACATCTAGAAACACTGGCTAAGTTAATGCTGATTTTAATGGGAACAATCTGGAGCTAATTTTTTGAATTTCAGATGGTATCTTAGAATTTAGAGAAAGAAAGAAAAAAAAAATCCATCCAATTTTGGTCAAGTCAGCTTATGGGACCTGGAAGAACAGCTCTGCCAATAGCAAGAGTAAAAATAAGCAGACATGATACTCCTTTGATTTGCATGAGTAGTATATACCAGCAGAGCTTTAATTAAGTGCAAAGGGTGTTGCAACAGCTCCTTTGGAGAAAAAAAAAAAAAAAAGTTTGAGGGAAGCCAAGTTCTGGAGCTCCACGGTGCAGATCTAGCAATAGCCTATGGACTAATGCAGTTTAAGCCAATAAGATTGCCATTCAGGATCTGACAGACTTGATTTGCAAAAAAGTTGTCTTAAGTTAGTTCAAGAATTACTGAAGGTTGATCTAGTTTTCCCATAACCAATAAGAATGTAAAAATATAAGAAGGCATCTTAGCAAAGAGTGTGTTGTATGTAAATAAGTATCTGAAATACATGCTGGAAGCAAGAATAGTTGGAGAACCTAAAATGCTCCCATATTTTTTTTTAAAATGGACAGTGATGTAATAATTTAGGATTTGGATACTTTGTCAATGTCATACTTAAACTATATCTTAAAAAGCAGGTCAATCATTCATTAAAAGCAAGCGAGCATCCCTGCCTGCATAAGCATCAACTAAGTGGGTTACAGAAGATTAGCTCCCAGTTGTGATCATGACTTTAAAATGTTTAAAGCTCCTTGTAAATGCACATTTTTTAAATGCAAGAAAGAGTCAGAATAGTGTCTTGTGTACCCTGCAGTTTAAGTATGCTCTTAAACTTTACAATACAATGCACTGGAAAAAGACATTCTGCTCTGCTATTAAGGAGTTTCACAGCACAGATCTGAAGGGGCTCCTTTAGGGTTATGAAACAGCATTTAACTCCCATGTTAAAAGTTACAGTCGGGAGGCAGTTGAAGTTCCTGAACACCAGATAGTTCACTGAAGTCAACTGCAGCTGTAGGAATAACTCAAGACAGGCATTGACACGACTATATTTGAGATTGCTTAACTCTAGTTTCAGACTGTTGTTATGCAAGCATTTCATAACTTTACTGAAGGACCAAAGGACAGTGCAAATACTAACTCCAGAGTCAGTCTGACAGCTAATGCAAATCCAGCATGTACCATGGCCTGCTCTTACAGTTCAAATGAGTGAATTCCTCATGAGTGCACACCCCCCCCACCCCCGCCCCTGCATTTAAAAAAAGAGCAAGACCCTCAAGATTGTTTCTTATATAGCATTCTTCATTAACGAAGTATCACCTCAGAATCCAAACAGATCTGATGCTTCAACTGTTGATCCCTTAGTGTACTTTACAGAATACCAGTTACAAATATGCAAAATTCTTAAAGAAATTCTGGCTCGATTTTCCTGAAAAATCTCTCTTCTCTTTCAGCCTTTGAAGTTTGCCTCAGAACAACATTCTAGCCATGTCTTGGACAGGGCTACTAAAGATAACTTAAGATATTTTTGCAAAAAAATTGTAGTCGCATTCCTGTAACATTTAACATATAGTTTTAAAATGATGCTATATAGGTCTGCTCAAGGATATTAAAAAAAAAAAAAAAAAAAAAGCAGCAACAATCAGGCAGTTTCAGTAGTTATTCCCTAGGGCTATTCATAAACTGACGAGACTGTTAACCTGGATTCTAAGATGCTATCATTACGTTGTTGCTACCCTGCCCACCCATTAAGTTTAGCAATAGGGAGAGCAAGCACAATGCCAGCAAAGAAGCATGGATGTACAGGGATTAAGCGCCAAGCCAGGAATACATAAAAACTGCTCTTCCTCAGAGGAGCCAAGGAAGAGGAAGCATTCAAGGAATAGTTACCCAGAAGTGTGCGTGACAGTTGACCATCATGGTCCGCTCAATAAGCTCATCAGGACATTCGAGGAGGTGGTGCCCTGACACCACCCCAGCATTGTTAACCAGGACAGAAACCTCGCCGACTTCCTTGCGCACCCGCTCCGCTGTGGAGTAGACATCTTCCCTTTTGCTCACATCACAGGTGTAGGTGTAAACCTGCAAATTGCAAGGGGGCACAACTTCCTTTTCTCCGTCTCCAGTGACTGCAGGACCCACACAAGAGAAGAGAGAAAAAAAAGTTACTTCCCGGTCAGAGGGGCACAGACGCAATCCCACCCGGCCCCCCGAGGGCCAGGGGCGCGGGCGCCCCCACGGCCCACCCCCCGCATTCACGGGCAGGGCAGGGCAGGGCAAGGAGCCCTGGATGCTCGGGCTCCAGCAGGAGCCAGCCCTCGAGGACAGCCCCACGGGGGAAGGGCCCCGGCCGCACCTCCCCCCGCCCCGGCAGGGCCCCGTACGCAGGTGTCAGCAGTGACAGGGAAGCGGCCAGAGCGCGGCGGCGGTACCTGGGCGGGGGGACGGCTCGGCGAGCTGGCGGTACACGAGGCGCACCATGCCCGCAGTCTCCTCGTTGCTCTGCGCGTTGATGTCCCACAGCACCAGGCGCGCCCGGCGCCGGGCGAACTCGAGCGCGAAGAGGCGGCCCAGGCCGCCGCCCGCGCCCGTGATAAGGCACACCTGCCCCGCCACGCTCTTCTCCTTGGGCCCCACCAGCC